CCTTGAGTAATCTTATTAAATTTAATCAACAAATATTTAGAATTAAATAATATTGCTAATTTTTTGCAACTATAATCGCTCACTACGATTCATAATAAAGAGTATTTCATAAGTAATGACCATATTTTTATTTTGTTTTCTTCTCTTTCCTAGATTTCAAGATGAAGAGTCATTGATGATATAGTTTTCAAGAGTAGCATCTGAGCTACCATTCAAGAGAGATGGCGTTTAATTTGTATCAAATCTAAGAGAGTGGTGCATTGGTGAAAATATTGAAAAAATTCTATCAAATTTATTTTTTATTTTTTCCTATAAAGCATGACCTTTGTTAGGGTCCTTTACCCGGTTTCTTTATTATTATTCTTCCTTCCGTTTCAAAACCAAACAAGCGAATGAATCAAAACAAAAAAAGCAGCAAAGAATGTTGTTTCTCTCTTTTTCCATGATATAACTCCTTGTTTATTTTCAGAACAAAGAGATATCATGGAGCGACGAGAATGAATATCATTAACGAGAGCAGTGATATTATAGAGAGAGTCCTCTTATGTCAGGAGATGTCTCTCCTGACATAACAACCTTCTCAGTATTTTTTGTGTATATTTCTCTCAACTTCTGATGCTTTGGCTTGAACTCTTTTTTGTCAAAAGATAGCCTGTAAAATGCTCTACAAAAACCAATAAAAACAGCTCTCCAAAAGAATAACTGGAAAATCATATCTGATCAACAGTACTACACTCGCAAAATACCCACTCTCGCAAATGCTGTGTTTTTTTACAAAACTTTTGATTTCTCTTCTCCTCACTAAACAGGTTTCAAACCATCCTGAGTTATCCGTCTGAACAGATGTTTTTATTTGAATTTTGTAGAGCATTTTACAGGCTATCTTTTGAAAAAAAAAGTTCAAGTCAAAGCATCAGAAGTTAAGAGAAATATACACAAAATATTGAGAAGGTCATGCTTTATAGGAACAAAATAAAAAATTAATTTGATAAAATTTTTTGAATATTTTCACCAATGCATCACTCTTAGATTTGATACAAATTAAACGACATTTCTCTTGAATGATAGCTTAGATGCTACTCTTCAAAACTATATCATCAATGACTATTCATCTTGAAATCTGGGAAAGATAAGAAAAAAATAAAAATAGGGTCATTACGGATGAAACACCCTTTATCTTTACCATTCTATGTACTAATGATCTTTGCTAGATTTTCAGTCTAAGGTCTGCAGACAGTAATTAAAACCAAAATCTCATTGTTTGTATCGGTGACGCATATTTTCTAACTATCTTTGTCTTTTCTTTACTATTTTTCGTCTTTTCTCAGTTTTCAAGTTGTTTCTTCAGATGAGCAAAAGTTAACGTTTCAGAACCGTTCAATAGTTTATCTGTATCCCCCTGTTCGTCTGTGCGAGGCATGTATATAAGACATTAATCTACCACACACTACGATGCATTCTTTCATAAATTTCACTGATAGATGTTGCAACAGCAACAAATTCAACGTCTCCATTTAACAACCATTTCTATGCTTCGGGTGTGTGTGTGCGTGGATATGGATGTGGCTGTGGATCTTCTTTTCACCCATACTTAAGCTTACACACAGCCACAACCACATATAAAACTTTGTCATATTTTACTTATCTTTCTATTTAAACAGAAAAGAAAAATATTCATACGTTGACAACAGAATGTCAGTAGTTTTTTTTCTAGTCTAGAACATTGTCCGAAAATATTATGAAGATGAACAAACACATGTTCCTTTCTTTAGACACCATATACTCATGTCATGATTGTTGTTTGCAATATATTGATCTCTTTGGTTTTTTTTGTGCGTATTTTTTAACAAAATTGTTGGCACACTTGAGCTCCATTGTGTCATTTGCATTAATCTCGAATAACTTGATCATCAGAACTCCAATTTCAATTCACCTTCATACATTTGCATGTTCGCCCAATTCTTTCTGATTGGTCATCAACATAGCCAACAACAACAATGATGAGCAAAAGAACGACTACAGCGTTGATAGATTTGAAAAGCATCCTGTCAAACAATGAATTTATGCAGAAAGATATATGAATATATAGGATCGATCTTATAGTGTCGTAACTATTACTGACATATTGCAAGACAAAAAAGAATTGCAAAGAGGAATATGATGACTATTATCATTTTATTTGCTCCATTTGACAGAAAGAAGAAGAAGGAGAAATAAATTTCCGATTATAACAAAGATTACAAACATTGGATATTTATAACATTAATATTTAATTTAGGTATGAAGTATAGTTGTGGATCCTCTGCAGTTGGTATATATTTTAGAGATCGAAAGTAAATCGAATATAACACTCTTTATTCGACTCAGCAGCAATTCGTTCACTAAATCTCAAACATGAACGATACAGCTCACTCCAGTATCGCGCTCATGTTTTTTGTATCTTGTGTTTTGGCAAACTGTATCGATCTCTTAGTGTAACATATATATTAGGTTGACCAGAACTCATATTTTCCTGAAAAAAAAGGATGTGGGTGTGATCGATATGAATGCGTATTTCATGAGATGAAGACTCCCATACATCCTTCTCGATTCTCATCTTACAACACACGAAAACCATACATCAAAATCAAGTTTATATTGAAGTACAATGTTTAAACACGACAATATCGCCAATAAGAACATCAATAATCTATGGTGTTGGCAATGGTGGAGCTAGTGCATATGATAAAAAACTACTATTCACTACAAGTATCTGTGATAGATGGATTCGATTTATGGCTACAAGAGGTACTGTAATACTTCTAACATCACCAGGAATGAATTATTGTATTGTTTTTTTTGGCAAGATGGTCCAATGGAACATTATCGTCAATAATAGAAACAATAGTTAGTGGTAATATATGCCTTGATGCACTTTGAGTATATGTAATTCATGTTATTGCACAATATGATTTTATGCAAATTTTATTTATAACAAAAAAAAAATTTTTTTTTTCTTTTTAGGTTTTTCCTTATCATCAAATAATCAATCAATATGAAAGAAAAATATTTCTTTTTCGTCTACTAAGCATGGTCTCTTGATTAAAAATAAATAAAAAAAGTATGGCTGCCGTATCGAAGAAAGACATTCGTTAGAAGAAAAGAATAACAAATGCAATCTGATTATAACAAGAAGTTTATGCTTTTTCTCTAACAATGTCTTTGTCTCTTTTTTTTCCTGAAATAGAATTCAATTATTTACGAATGCAAAAAGCAAGTTCTTTTTTTTTCATTTGATTTAGAACTTATCCTATCGAATCGTTTTCATTGAGCAGATTGATATACATACATTCTTTTCGGCACTATAATCATCACAAATATGTGTTTATTAAAACCACAGTAGTGAACAAATATTTTTCGTGCGATTTTTAGAAAAAAAACAGAATCAATACGGACCAATGGAATGAAGCACGGGTTAGATTTTGGCACTAAAAATTTTTAAAGAAAAACTGTCAATGAAATAAATGGCCTACGTTTTTGAACTAAGATATTAGATCATTGAAACAGCATTCCTGGAAATGATTGTCAGACATGTCGAGATGTTGTCCCAATAATCTAATGTTGTAAGTCAAATCTTATCGATTATAGAGTAGGCAAGTTGCTGCATACAAACTTTTCCTTTGAAATGTTTCATTTGCTAAACTGTAGCCCATTTTTTCTTACATTCACTCGTACGTATTTTACGTTTTTTCTGGAACATTTTCAGAGAGAAATAATTTGATTTGAACAACTATATGAAAAATTTCGTCTACCAATATACGATGTGAAATTTTTTGTCCTAATTTTCATTTTCCATTTTTTTGAAATTTTCTCACAAAAAAAAATAAAATTCTTTCTCTTTTAAATCATGCGAAACAGTTTGGCAGTCTTGCATTTTTGAGATCCCTCAATCTATTGACAGATTCGACAAAATATATAGAAAATTGATGTTTCTTGAATATTGATTGTTTCATGTAAGCATATTTTATACCCTTCTTTTTGAAAAAAGATCGAACTACAATATGTAGTAAGTTATATCTCATTCATCAAACGATGATAGAATCGATTATTACAAAAATCTGAAGAATGCGATGGATTAAACAATGTCTCTTCTTTGAACAAAAAGTACCATTACATAACTAGGATAAAATTTTATTGTATTGTTTTATAATAATAATAATTTTCGAATGATGAAAACTTTTTTGTTTATTATATTCTATTCAAATGTGAAATTGGATATCTTCTGAATTTATTTCCTATTGAAGAATTCCATTATCGTTCATGTAATCTAGAAAATGAGTTGCTTTTGATAATATGGATATTTATTTTCTTGAATGATAAAACGAAAATATAAAATTAGTCATAAAGAATAAAACTCACTGTATTTGATTATCTTGTTAAAAAAATTTTTTGTTTGTATGAAAATTTTTCATCATGATTTAGATACTATTTCGGTTTGAATTCATAAAAATACATCTTGACGTCAATGTAACCAATGTATTATTCTCAGTATTGCTGACAAACAGATGAGGATTCTCTGTGTTTGACAAGAAGTTGACGCACAACGAATATAAATTTACATAAAAGATTTTTTTATTCGAATATTCTTTCAGTATGATTTTGTACTAAAAAGTCGTCGATATGCACAGTATTTCAAACGAATTAATGAAAAGGTATGCTTTTGACCGAAGTTTAAGAATAGCATAAAATAAGAGAAAAAAAACAGAAAAAGAAAGAAATCTTATTAGTCGTCTCTATTGAAAGGAGATGTTTCTTTTTTTCAAAATAATCAAAAACTAAATAATTACAATATTGATTTTTTCTTGTCTATGAATAATTCTATAAATTACCAGGCGAACTATATTCTTACATTAGTATGTGGTGAATGATCATACTATTAAAGTGAGCCAGATTGCTTAATCAGATTATTCTATTGAAACCGAAGCCATTTGATCAATAAATAAAAACTCTTTCATTTATTAATGTCTGCTGCAAGTACTTTAAATGATCTTTCTTCAACAATGTGGCCTGACGCAATCTATTCTGAGCCTATCTCATCATCATCGAATAATCATTCAGAACAATCATCAACAACTTTCAAGTAAGATTTATTTTGAAGCCGTTTTTTTGTTTGAAAAAAAAAAGATTTCCTTAAATCAACAAGGTTTGCAACTCACTCTGGAGAACATTGTAATAGTAAACGAGCAAAAATAATTATTATTAGTATCATTGCTCTATTGATTTTGGTGATAATTATCATGGTACTAACGGTGATTGTTCTTCTGAATTCACAGAATACAACAAATAAAACAACATCATTGATAACAGCAAACAATGTCAATTCATATTCTAGTACGAATATTACTTGCTTAACATCTTACTCTCTAAATCATATTATAATTCATTAATTTAATTGATGAATGTTTAGGTACAACGATATCAACAATCTATGATGTTGGTAATGGTGGAGCTAGTGATGATCCGCCTTGTTCATCATACACAGTTGTCAACGATCCTTCGCGCAATATAGCTACGCCTGGAATGGGTGGTGCGTGCGATAATGGACCATTATTCAACACAAATATTGGTGGTAGATGGATTCGATTTATGGGTAAAGGAGGTACTATAATACCTGTAACATCACCAGGAATGAATCATTGTAGTGCTTACCTATCAGGATGGTTCAATGGGACGTTACCATCAACAATAGAAGCAATAGTTAATGGGTATATATGTTTTGATACAGTTGCCTCACCCTGTTCATTCCTTTCCCCTGTTTCAGTTGTGAATTGTAACGGTTTTTATGTTTATTTTTTGCCACCTTTGATTATCTGTAATTCACGTTATTGTACAGTATGAATTGATTTCAGTTTTTTCCATTAGTGATGTATTTAACGATGTATATGTTCTGATTTTTTTAAATTGAGAGTCGTACTATTAAAATAGCTTCTATTCATGATTTGATTGTAAAAACATCATCTTTGTGTCGTGTAAGTGCAATTAAGAGAAGAAATCTTCATCAGGAAAGAACGAAGTTTTGATCTTCCATTGATACATAAATTATATATTCAAAGTATGAAATCTTTCAGTTCTTTATGATAGAACGTTATGAAAAGTTCACTGAAATCTACTCAAAAGAGCTAATATCATACCAAAAGAAAACTTTTTTCATTGGTCATCCATTTTAAAATAAATGAACTATTCTTGTTGCATTTTTCTGTAATTTTATAATACAAGTAATCACAAATGTATAGATTGTTGCACAATATCAAACAATAATAACGATGAAAAGAATTTCATTAGTAGGAGAAAAAGTATCACTGGATCGAATGAAATTTAAACATGGTGTTTTTTTCGCTCGCTCTCTCTCTCCATTCATGGTTTTTCGCACAAAAGTTGTGTTTAAATTTAAATGAAGAAAAATTAATATTTTGGCATGCTAGCATTTTACTTAGATGAATTAAATTTGACAATGAATCATATTACTGCATTTAACTGTATTATTTTATTAGACAAAGTCTGTGTATATGTCTTGTTTTATTAAAGTCTATAGCATCGAAATAAGAGATTCTGACGTGAATATAAATTAATGGTTAGACAAAATTGAGTGAAACAATTATGTTCATGTGATCCAGCAACCGACTGAAACAATAAAATTCTATAGATAAAAACATAACAAATTGAAATTGACAAATGTCCTTTTTTTATCCTACACATTAATTCGTCTATATTCTGAGATTTCTATCAAAAGTTAGGATTATATTTGTTGCTTTGAATTCATTACATTTCAAAAATATTTCTTTCACTAGCTTGCTTTTTAAGCTGTGTATATTTGTGAATACGAGTTCACTAGTCATTAACACTGCTCAGGTATGCATAGGAAGAAAACAGAAAAAACATACAGAAGCAAAAGAAAAAACTAGAGAAGACAATATATAAAGCAAACCATATAGACGATCTATCACATGCTTCTAGAGTTCGTACTCACTCTAGAAACATTGACTGCATAGTAAACCCTCTTCTAAAAAATTTCGTAAGCATCCTAATGCTAATTTAAGTAGACAAAAAGGAGCAACAAAAAAAGCAATTTTAATGTCACAATAATAATTCATCACATTAACACGTTTTTTCGTTTTTTTTCTCAGCTATTTAACCAATAGTTTTTTTCGTTCAAATTCATTCTCTTCTTATGCTTATGTATCTTTTCTTAGATCTCTTTCACTCGAGCGCGTTCATGATATTATCTCTTGCTTTATAATCTATTTCAGTGATTATTGTGCAGAAAACATTCTGCTCATGCAAATAAATTTTTCTTCTAATCATTAAGCCAAGATAGGATGAGTATAACCAATTGAGAAATATTCTTGCGTAAAGTACAAAAAATAAGTTCGACATTTCAGTTGGTTTTATGTTCCTTGTATTTTCTTTACCTCATCTTAGACAGTTTAGTCATATGAGCAATTGATCTAGGATCATCGAATATATCAGTTTTTTCTTTTTTTGTTACACACAATGGCAATAAATTGTTATTTTGATTGTATTATGATCATAGAATCATAACTCGAGAATAGTTGAATAACAGTAGTGATATATCCAAAGCATACCTCCAAATAAAATATTGTTAGATGAGTGCGAAGATATGATGAAACTTGCACACATGTCAGCTATTTACCGACAGATGGTTACTATCTGTTATAATAAGATAAGCGAGTCCTGTAACGCAAAGAGGCAACTCAATACTTCATGGCTACTTGAAAGCTAGTGAAGGTTATATCTGATAATTACTTTAGATCTATTTCTGCTGAACATCAATACATCTGCCGGTGTACGGTCGAAATAAAATTAAAATAGTGAGCAGACATAGTCTTAACTGGCCCGCAAATAATCATAAAGTATTGAATTCTCTCTTTACCTTATGGAATTCGATTAACTTCGAAATAAAACATGTAAAAACACGTTTAAAGCCTGAAACGAAAAATATTCGTAAGAATCGCACATTTTAACGCGTTATGAACATGTGAAGCTATCCGATACCGTAAAACCTCGTTTAAGAATTATAATACGTACGTAACGCATTAAAATGTACGTTTTTTACGATTTGGAACATGTTTATTTTTGGCCCATTTTTACATGTTTTCCTTCTTGAGTTTGTCTGAGTGGGTAATCAAAACAATACATTGAGAATAATTGATAATTTCCACATAGTCTACATTAATTAGATAGAAGATTAATTTTACCGAAAAAGAAATCATTTGAATAAAAGTCTCTTGTATCTACTTGAGCAGTACAATTATACAATGACGTTGAAATTCTCATCTGTCTATATATATATAGAATCAACAGAAGCAGGCTTTCTTATAATGACTTTTCTAATATGCCAAGGAGCTTTGATTACAATAGCATATGCCATGTAAAATATTTCGATTAATAATTTCTGTAATTCGAATAAATCTACAAAAGAAAATAATCTTCTCTTTTATCTTTAGAAACTATCATTTCAATATGATTCGAATTTAATGAAATCGAAATAGGAAATCAATGATTCGCTATTTTCATTTTTAGTATTTCAATAATTCGACATGTTTGATTTTGTTCAATTGATGGAGATGAGATTATAGTTGTCGATGGATAGATATAAATGTCTAAAAAAAATCATTCAATATAATGACTCTTCATGAAGAGTCAGTTAGACTATAAAAGAGTTCATCTTCACTATTGGGATAGTTCAACAAAAACTATTTTTCCATGAACACATGATTTTTTTCATCTTCGAAATTGTTCACTGTTTGTTCATTGACATAACCAATAATTATCACATCGTATTAGAGTCGAATTATACCGATTAATCCAAGAAGCAGAACAATTGCTTTCATCATCTGTATTACGAATTTTAGCATTAGTAAATTCATTACATTAGTAAATAAATAAGAATTGAGCCAAATCTGCTAGGGAGTCTCGCTTCAATTTACATCCTATTTCGACATCAAGTGATAAACACGTGTGCAAAAGACTCTCCACCGAAACATCTTTACAGTATGTAGACGTGGATATTATCGCTGTCATTAGCTACACGCAATATCGACATCCAATATGGCATTGCCTGAATCGAAAGACAGTTTGACTTTATGATTATTATTCATTAAAATATAAAATTTTTACTGTATGAAAATCATTATTAATATCATAGGTCTCTGAAATTGTCTCATGCTATTGATTCCACTGACACACTTCATATGTCTCTACTATTTTTTGACTCAGTGAGTATGTTTGGCAAGCATGAAATTGCTCCTTTGGTGTTTTCCAGTCCATATTGAATCATACGATGGCTAACATTAGTTTCGTCGAAATGCGCACGACGTTGCATGAGCGTGCGCTAAAGCATGGAGATAGCCTCGTGGATTTCTGGCTTGTAGAAGGGCTCTTAATAATTTTCAGAAGTGAGAGAGAGTGAAAACTTGAAAGGCAGCCTGTAAAGCGCATAGTGACTGAGAAAAGGTACCTTCTAAAATTTGACAGGCAATTCTCGAATAACATCTCAAAATTGTCGCAGATATCAAGCAACAACTGGGAGGAGCTAGCTCACTCCATTGTCTGCCACATTGAGACCTACGGTTCGTATTGAGTTAGACGAGTACATCGATTGCTCTTAAATGCTGAGGCATTCAGGAGTGAGCTACTCTAATAAAGAGATTTTTATGACCTTAATTAGCAATACAGTATGTCACCATATTAGGCTTTAAGTCTTTTATAAAGAAAAGTTGCATAGGGTTTGTTAAGACTTAAGCAGTTACATTTACATTATCATACGAAAAGTTATTAGACGTATGTCAATCTTTAAGTATGTATTTAGTAAAATGTTACTAAGAATCGTTTTACATATGATCCACTGTGATAAGTCATTAAAGAACAACATTTTTGATTCAATGAAGTATCTGGAACATGAAGATTGAAATTTTTCTTAAGTGTCAATTATATTATTTTTTAGTTGCCACAGGTAAAACAAAAAGAAAAAAATCTATGGCTCAAACAGTAGAGTAATATTGTGTAATACAAATTTTTCTGGTCAATATGATTGTCTTGGTCTTGGTTAAACATTCAAAAGTTTAGCAATAAGTGGTTGTTAAGAAAGTTTTCATAAGTAATAAATTCTTTTTTCTATATTATTGTATTGTTATCTATGATCTTATAAACTAGATTAATGTCGAATAAATTTACCTATTCTATCTGTCACAGAGCAACAAATTCAATGTTTCTTACAAGTAAAACGTAAAAAACAAAGAGACATAGGCAGGAGTTAAAATAAAAGCCATATTCACATCCACCCAGATTATATCAGCTGATTATTTCTTGCCAGTGCATTTACTTTGGTTAATTCTTCTGAAAGTCGTGTAGGATTCACTTGTTTTGCTTACTAGTTATTGAATTTGATTACAATCCATCGTTTCTTTCTACCTCTCTTTCCAATGAAGGCTTCATTGAGAATCCTCGTGTTGTTAATTAGTTGAGTATAATCACTTGGATAATCATTCTCGAAACGCACATTCATGAATTTTTTTCTTCTAAACAATTGCCAACGTAGCTGAGAATTAAACATTTTTGATCACGAATTTAGTATAAGCAATCATATTTAGCTATAATTGTGTTAATATTTTCTTTCATTAGTTTGATCAGTGGTTTAGTCCAGCATCCACGTAAATTTATTTAGTGCATAATTGAATTATTATTTTTTATTTACTGAGAAAGTTATTATCAATGCCGCGTAATCCTCGCTGGATTGGAGCATTGCTCATAGTTATTTCTTACTTATCCACAGAACTTTTCAAATCATTGAGAAAAGATTTTTTTATTATTAATATTAA